AAACAATTTAATTTGTTTTATATAATGATTTGTTTCTTAAGTATCCCATTTTGCTCCGGTCTTCCGGTATTTGAAAATCGTCGTATCTAGCGCTCAATATCTCAAAAAGGGAATATAATGACCTTTCCAGTTCATAAATCTGTATTAATCTAAAGGATGTTTATTAAGTTGGTAAACTGGGAAATTTGAAGACAGTTCTCCATAGTTTACCCGTATAATGAACAGAAATACTTGTGCATAGATAAATTTTAGCTTCAATGCTTGTATTATTAGTTCAGAATCCGCTTAAGCGTTAAGATCGCGTTTGAGATGCAGCATCATGCTTATCACGGTTAATTACGAGAAATTACGGAGCTCCCTCTCTCCAAGGCCTCATTTTAATCCGGAAAATGCTCCATTAGTAGAGCTCCGGTACGGTAAAAATAATAGCTAACTGTTCGCTGCCTTGTAAAATTTGAGACGGTAATAGCGAAGTATAATGGAGTGGGTATTGGTGCGAGAGCTTCGTTTTTTTATTTTCTAATTGACTTATGAACAAAGAAATTCTGAACATTTTTACTTACCAATTTGGCGAGTAACTACGCTGTCGAACGCTAAATGGTATAAAATTTAAAACTTCACATTTCCAAGAGATAGATAATAGTAATGAGAGTGAACAGATGGTCGTTATAAAATAATGAACTGTTGTAAGAGAAGATCAACGAGAAATAAGATACAGGTATATCCAGAACTTACTTATTTTTTACAAATTATTCTTATCCTTGTTTGTGATTATGATAAGGGATGATGAAATAGTAGGTACTGCAATTTTCCAGCATGTCAGAAATTTCGGAAGAGTTGATTGCAGTTTTTGATAATCCATAGCAAACATAGGCTTCAGATTGCAACTTCGTCTGGTTTTCTTACAATGTCTTTTGTCCCTTAATCACACTGCTTTACTCATCGTGCGATTCCCTATTGCATCTAGTTAATACCATCTATAGCTTGCCGTTTATTTATTACAGAAACACCCTATATAATGAATGTAGGTATTGATCATTACAGTAAATAATGCTCCTGTTATTTAAGCAGATATCCAACTTCCTTTAAAGTGAATGCTTATCAAAGTAAGTAATACAAAACGTTAAAAATAGCCAACCCGCTGAATAGAAAACTGAAATTTTGGCAAAGGCCTAGTATTTGAGAAGACACCGGTTCGATTTTTGTTTCGTCTGCTTCCAAGTTTTTCTGTGGATTCTTTTGAATCGTTCAGGCAAATGCTAGGGCAGGAATATTTCATATATAATTAACCTTCTTTCACCTCTCTTCTATCTTCATTTTGTCGGTATCATATCTGTCTTCTTCAATCACCATCCAGCTTCAGTTATGATCTGCTTCGTTCAATGAAATTCTTCTCCAGCAGTAATTTTTCGAAAGATACCAGATCCGAAGAGATAGATAATTACATCCATTTGACTGTCACCACAAACCTTTTTCTTTACCAGATGAGACCATTTATTCATCAATTCAACATGTTTGTACAGTAAAATGACATAATACGGTCTTATGGTTGTTGGTCATTCATCGATATACACATATCATTTAACACCAAACAATAGTAAGCGTGACTTTAAGGAAAGGCATGACATTCTTAAGAGTTCCTTTATTGCATTCGTGTCCAATGTTTTGATAATTTAAATGTTCTAATAAAATATTAAATGCATGGTTCCATAGGTATTACGCAATTTCACTCACTGGACTTCCAACACGGTATCGTGGATTTTCCTGGCTATTTTGTCAGCAGTGACATCAATTGAGCATCTAAAGCGCTCAGTATCTGTTGTTATAGTACCTTCGACTACTCCAGAGCCGGGCAAACTCGGCCCTTTTGTCTCCCGAGTGCTCCATTCATTGCTCCTGCAAGTGTGAGTGAGATCATTCTTTCCTTTTCTTATCCCTTCCATTTCATAGGTGAGTCCCCTCTTCCATAACCGAACCTAATAGTATTGCGACTGTAGTCCGGCATGCTACCTCTGAGCTGCGGGACGATCATTAGAAAATTTTCGTAGGTATTATTTAAGTTGCGAGAGAAGCTACGCTTGTCTACGGCATGGAGGGGCTTGATATAAGAGTAAAATGGAGAAGAAAAAGAGAAAGCAATATGAGTCATTACTGCTTACTCTCTCGTACTTATTGAAGGATATGGAGTGACCCAAACTAACCTCAGGAAGCGGCTCCTTCGAAGTTAAAGTTTGCCCGACTCTGGACTATTCCATGTCATGGAACAGAGCACTCATTTTTCCATCATGTGAAATATCTAGAAGCGACCAGTCGAAGCGCAATAAAGTTTTCTCCATTTGACATACAATGAGGTACCTACCTATTCTTAATTTTGGTATAAAAAAATTAGTTAAACCTTCAGCGTTAATGAGTTATCAAATAACCCTCGTATATTATTAATTGCGTATACTTCTGATAAAAGCAGTAATTTAATTAACACAAAAATGTGTTTACAATCTACTAAAAAGAATGATTTCAATTCAAATTTATCAAAATGCTACCTAAAATCAATAGTTCAAATAAGCAACATGTTCATTATATTTTAATTTGATTATTGACATTTGGAAGCAGTGCTTTTCCTCTGGAATCTAGTTTGAATTCTGAAAAGTTCACGTCTGACGAACTTTAATGAAAACAAGCGCAACTTTGTTGTGATAATGTTTTCCTGATGATCAATGGCGTGGAGAGTCCGATATCCAGTCACCACCGACTCAGACCACGAAAACCAATGTCCATTCTCTATAAAAACATACCAGCGAAGTTTGAGAGTTGGATTCTTCTCCATTGTAGTGGTAAATATTCATTTTAAATCGCAAAATAAATTCAAATTAGGATATCAACGAAAATACATACCAACAATTAACATCTCATTCTATACCATGTCAAATACAAATACATAATTTCCATATTCCCTGAAATCACTGTATAATGAAATGCGATGCAAAGAATATTTAAGTGTTATTTCATTAAAGAAACGGAAGCAGAACAAACAAAAGAGTATAACAATTTTATTAGGACGAAAATCTAATGGAATTCTCATACACATAAAAGAAAAAATGGATAGGCTAACTTCATCAGATTTTAAAGCAAAGGATAGCGCAGGGTCGAGTTGCCTTCGATAAAAAGAAGTCACTTCTATGCTTGCAAACAGTCATTTGAAAAAGATTTTTAAAGGTGTATGTTTGGAGAGTGGCGCTGTACGGATGCGAAACATGGCCGGTGGGCCCGGCGGAAAAGAAAAGATTAGAAGTGTTCGAAATGTGGTGTTACAGGCTAATGCTGAGGATACAGTAGATAGAGAAGGTTATAAATGAAAAGTTATTACAAAGAATAGGAGGATATAGGACTTTGTGGAAGGCAATAAGGAATAGGCGAGATAGGTTGGTAGGGCACCTTCTCAGACATGAAACATATTATAGGAAGAAACAGGAGTTAAGAGGAGTAGAGGTAGACCTAGATTAGATTACTGTTTGCAAATAGTTAAGGATGTGGGTTGTTCTAGTTTTGGGGAAATGCGAAGATTAGCTCAGGATAGGAAAGAGTGGAGGTGCGTATCCAACTAGTCTTAGGACTGACGATGATGAAAAAGAATTTGTCAGTTCTTCTTAATTTTAAATAAAGAAGAAATGCTTTCTTCATACTTGAGAAAGCAGGTTCTTTGTATCACTAAAAAGAAAAACTTGCGTGTTTCATTCTTATAAGTTGCAAGTGCTTGTAGGTATAGATTGTTTAGTGTTAATCGGAAGAGGAGGTTGATAGTTCTTTTTTAAGTATTCATTTAGGAATTGTGTCAAGAGGGATAAATTGACATCGGAAGAGAAATGAAAGACTAGTTATCCATTAAGTACTACTGCCCAAAGGGAACTATAGAAGTGCATGGACTAGGGCAAGCGGATTCGGAATCGAACTGGTAGGCTTCCAAATGATGAAATCACTGTATTAATTTGGATCATATACATTCATGCACATCCCTTTTGCACCGAGCGGCATGGCCTANGCAACTTCGTCTGGTTTTCCTACAATGTCTTTTGTCCCTTAATCACACTGCTTTACTCATCGTGCGATTCCCTATTGCATCTAGTTAATACCATCTACTATTCTACTAATCTTATTAATTTCCTTGGGGAATGGAGCTGATGGATTAAGTTTTCCGATCATCATTGGGAAAACTAATTTTCACTTTTTGTAAATGTAGGTTTTGTTTGTTAAACGAAAAAATTAATTGGGGAGTACGTATATATACAGGACTATGTTATACTAACTCCCAATCAGTCGGTAGTCCTCCTCATCCACATCCTTCATAGAGCAACCCCTTTCCTTCTTGCTTATGTATATAACTAGTGGTTACTACGGGCGTTAACATACTACCCACCGAGCCGCATGACCTAATGTTTAGATCTTTGCTTAGCAAAATCGGTCTTGGTCTCGGTCTAGCAAAAAAGCAAGATCAAGACCAAGACTGTCTTAATACTAGCAAAACCAAGACCAAAACCGGACGAACAAGACCAAGACTAAGACTAAGTAGAACGAACAAAACCAAGACCGAACGAACAAGACAAGGCCAAGACTAAAATCAAGATCGAATATGTAAGACTTGTGTTCAGATTTTTTTTAACTTCCTTCTGATAAAACCACATCACTCTGACAGATGACTTCGGCCTCCTTTATATTCTGGCATGGTTCAAAATCATCAAACAATGCTTCTAATGTAGGTTTTCTCACTTGTCTAGGGATTGTTTAATAAAAGGCTCCGGGTAGTTGAATATGTCTGGCTCTTCATCATTGTGTTTAGATTTTTTTTCACTTGCTTCTGGTAAAACTACATCACTCTCACAGATGACTTCGGCCTCCTCTATATTNCACTTCAAAAAAAACATACAAAGTTCAATTATTAATTTTTAATAGACTATAGACTATATTCAATGAGGCATTCAGTTGACTATAAATGAAATTTCAGTTGGTACAGAAAAATTATTATATTTGTGTGAAAACTTTCCAGGTTCACCTATTTACATTTAAATACCTTATGAAACTAAAACAGGAATTATTGCTTTAAGTATCCCCCACGCCAGTTGTTACGGTATGGAGGTTTGCTGATAAAGTTGCTAACAGATTTCTGATATTGAGACTTAGTTTTATCTTTGGAATAATTGTTTCCAAGCCACCTTTGCTTTATCATATCGGAACCTTTTTCCGCAATCATAACTATTGTTGCATGCGTATTGCCGGAAACAAGAGTGGGCATCACAGACGCATCCATCACTCTTAAACCATCAATTCCGTATACTTGTAGTTTGGGATTGATTACAGCCATCGGGTCGGTAGTTGGTCCCATTTTACAGGTACCAGATTGATGGTTTTCTGGTCCGGTGGAATGTCGAATTGCACAATCCCAATATTCATCGGAATTATATATGTACCGATCTGCGCAATCTCCATAAGGAATGTCGGCCATTTCGATTCCATATTTTTCCTTTAGGACATTAGTGTTGGCAAGAGCTTGACATACCCGGACGCCGTCTATCATCACAGCCATATCTTCAGGTGCAGTTAAATAATTGGCGAACATCAACGGTGGGTCTAATGGGTTTGATGAATTAAGAGCTATGTATCCTCTACTCTTAGTGTGAAGAGCTACTGGGGAAATATAGATTTGTCTTGGTTCTACAGGATTGCTAGCGTTTCTCAGTGCATTTACTTCTCCTGTATTAGCACAGTTCGCACTGTATCCACCGAAAAATAACTGCAAGTCCGGGTATGTTCCACTGGCATCGGCATGTCTTGAATTGATCCTGGCAGTTATTTGGGACATACCTGTCGAAGCAAGAGGACCACGCTTGTATATTACATAATCCAGAAGCGCAGGCCAGTTCAAATCAAAAGTGTTATTCTGCTTAAGCAGATTGAACACCATATAAAAAGCGACATGATTTTGGAGATTGGCACCCACCCCTGGTAGTTCGTGTACTTGTTGTATTCCGGCATCGTTCAATACTTTCTTCGGTCCAACACCAGAAAGAAGAAGAATCTGTGGTGAATTTATAGCTCCTGCAGATAAAACGATTTCTTTTCGGACGCGGATTGTGTATGATTTTCGATTGTTTACAAGCACTTCGACCCCCTTAACGGACTTCTTGTTGTTGTAATTGTTAAATTGTAGCCTCGTAGCTGTGGCATTTAGCAGGATGTGCAAATTTGGACGACGCCTGACGTTATTCGGTCTGAGGAATGCTCGAGCGCTGCTCAGTCTTCCTCCGTTCCTGAAATTGTTGTCATGCATTTAGAACGTTAAAGTTCTCATTAAAATGTTAGAAATGTTACTACACAAAGTGTTTTTGAAATAAACTGCTTCGTGTAGCAATTAGAAGAATGTTAATCACAAAACTAATAATGTGTGATATGCTTGAAATAAATACTTATTTTGCAAGTAAGTGTAAAGATTACCCATCAAAATAAAAAATAACTACAAAATTTAGTAAATATAATTAAATTAGCAAGGAAGGAGATTCTAAGTGTTCGAAATATTAAAGAAAATTTCTACATTGTTACGATTTTCAATATGCAAGTAAATGCTATTGCACGGGCTCTTAAGAAACGCTATGAATCCCTTTTATGAGCAACAAATGCCAGCAGATGGCGATATATTACCATTTTTATACTTTATCACTAAACGCAACGTTAGTCTAAATTAAATTAAATTTAACATTAATGTTTCATACCACTATATTGGCGCATATAATGTTATATATAATTATTTAGTAACAGTAAAAACGTTGTAACTGCTGTAGAGAAAAATCATAAATTAAACTTCATAAGTAAATTTTTTAAATATAGATATATTGCTGGAATGAAATTCTGAAGATGTCAAATGTATCAAATTAAGCCAATTATTTTATGCTCTTACTCATCAAAACCAAAAACGTGATACGTCTAGTATTTGTTCATTAATGTAAATGTGCTTCATGTGAGCTAAGTGCTTAGGCGGTGTATTACTAGCATTCCTCCATAGCTCACTTAACTTGCAATATTGTTCTGACAACAAGCCGCCTGTCATATTAAAAGTAATTGTATTCTACATGTAAAGCTCAAATCTTTCGGAACTTTAATCAGAAAGAACACTTTTTCAACAAATCATTTTGTGAGAGAAAGCATTAGGTTAATCCAATTTGGGTTACGAAACTATGTTCATACCAACTTTACAATATACCTAGACTAAGTGGCGAATCGAGAACCGAACATAGAGTCCCCTAATTTTGGATACCTTTTTTATTCAACTTTCTTGTGTGAATAAAAAATATTTTAATAATTCTTTTGCACCTAAAACATGCTTTTACCGCAATAAAAACAAGATATGCATAAATAAATATTTATTTCAATCGTAAAGGGAATAAAAAATAAGTAGAAAAAGGCACTTTTTTAAATTTCAAAAAAGGTTTTTTTTTTAAATTGTATTCCTCATCCAAAATTGGGAACCTACCACATACGGAAACTTAATTTTTGTAACAATTAGATAATATTCTATCGCTAAATACGTTTTAAAACCGAATATTTAATTGACTTTTAAATTTTGTATGTCGAATTTTAGGGTTTCCTTCCTATCCAAAATTAGGCAACTTTTATATTTTAGGTTATGTGACTGAAACAAAAAAAATCGTAGACACTAAATTTTTGACGGGTTAAATTCAATGCGTTAGTGAATTAACTTTTTTTTTTATTACCACTACAGATAGCTTTAAATTAATGAGGAAAAGTTGTGGCTGCTGTCATTCCCCGCCAGATATCGAATTCGGGCATCTGGTTTTACGCACCAGTAGATAATCTACTACTAAGCACTGGTTCGATTCCCAGTGGGGAATGAGAGATAAAAAGATAATTTTTTCCTGATTAATTTGAGGTTATCTGTATACAGAAAACAATGACCCTCTGTATTTTACTATTGTACTAGTGTGTTGTAACCATCTCTTTAGGAAACGGATAGTTCTAAAAATGAGAAATCCTATATCGATACTTAATTATATATCGCCTTGTAATTAAATCCAAACGAGTAGTTATTAACTATTAACTGAAGACCTAAGGTANGCTAGTGATGGGCATAACGATTCTTATTCGATAACGTTGCAAATTGGAACTTTGAATAAAAATAACGTTTTTAAAAAACGTTATTAAATAACGTTATTTTGAAACAAATCAAAACGGCTTTTTCGATTATTTTCAAATTATAATTAAGTTGGGGTAATAAAAACAACATAAAATTTAAAATAAAACACATTTTATAAATATATGATAGATTCATTTAAACATAAATGATTATCGATAGTCGATCCGTTCCGTTCATCTGTTCTATTGTGTTGCAGTGCTTGCCACTTTACGTTCCTCAGTAACGAGTTATACGATAAATAGTAACGTTCCGTAACGTTGCAACAAAATAACGTTCCAAAATAACGTTAACGGAATAACGACCCATCACTAATATTTGGACGTCTGGAATTAACGATGAATAAATGTTCTTATTTTTTTTTATTATTTTAAATGCCTCATGCATATAAAAGAAACACCGACAGCAAGTACATTCTTAAAACGATCGCTTAAGGAAACACAATATAAGTAATGCTTATCAAAAATGGACACATGAAAATTAGAGAAGATTGTAAATAAGTACTTGTGAATTTTGCGCTAAAAAATAAAGTGTTGATAATCTTCCCATGTGTTCACAATTACCCTGATAGGTGTCCAGATTTACCTAAAAGGCAATAAGTAATTACCTAGATCAAGGATTTTGTTGGTAATTAAATTATATACGTATTTTTTCTGATTAGTCATCAGTTTGTAAAGATGAAACTGAAGTTCAAATTTTCCCGTTTCTCCTCCACGAATCATTCAATACCGTACCATTTAACGCGTTCTTGGCCCTCAGTAATATAAGAGGTATTTATTTAATAATGAAAATTGACTGTAATACCTCACGCATGCTTGAGCAATGGCAAATCCGCTGTACTGTTCCCCAGTGAGGTCGTTACTGATTGGATAACCTAGCTCCCATGCTGCAGCTAGTATGTCGTTTGCAATTTCCGGTTGATTTGGAAACCTGCTAACTGTCATATAGCCTCCTCTAGCATGATATCGCCGATCAACGAGCGTACCAATTTCAAGATTATCCTCCGACTTCAAAAAATAAGGAAAGACATCGTTGTAACCCCACCCTTCATTACCAGCTTCTTTCCAGTTGTCGTAGTCTTTTGGTTGACCTCTCATGTACATCATTCCATTCAGCACACTTGTACCTCCTAGAACTTTGCCTCTCGGCCAGGAACATTTTTCATCAGGATAACCTAAACAGGCTACTGGTTCTGATTCAGTCTGATAAGCCCAGTCTATTGGAGTATCCTGGAAGTTCACTACCATCGCTGGTACCTAAAGAAAAGAACTCATTTAGATAGGTAAAGAAAAAAAGAATGGAATGTGTATGAATAATTAATACTAGAAATAATAGATAATTAATAAGCTTTTATTGAGAGGAGTCTAAGAAATGCGTTTCAAAGAGCTGAGCCTTTAGAGAAACAATATATTTTTAGAGGCAAAGTGATTTTGTTCAGATCCTAATCCAATAGTGGCCGTAAACGTCTTAACCAATCGATACTTTTAGGTTTCTTGTTTGTTGTGCGCTTCAGTCGTTTTTCTCATTTAGGCAATTTACTACGTATTAATGTTGTCAAGGAAGATTGCACAGACGGATAGAATTTTATCCTTTCAACCAACAGTGCTAACTGTATATTAACGTCTCAATGTTCTTACTGCTGTGACTCAAACCTACTGTTTGCCTCTTGATATGCACCTACAGCATATGTTTTCAAAAATTTGAAAAGCTAATTACCACTAAAAACAACAAGTAATGAATTTATTAAACATGCTATTTTGTACTAGTTTTATTATGATAAAAAAATCTAAATTATTTTTATTATGCCATACATCTTGTAACGATGAAGTGTATTATGGTCAAAAGTGTAAAAGAGTTACAAATTCGTTGCGATTAAGTTTAAATACATTAATCTTCTAAGTCTACATCTTTGCTTTTCTACAAACCTTTATAGTGGTTCCATTAATTCGATTAATATTATAATTTTCTATTTTTGTAGCCAAGAAGATTAGGTTCATGATCACAAATTTATCACCGAAGCTACCAGATACAGTAGTTCTCATCAGCACACAGCACGTAGTTTAGATAAAGAAATGAATAAATGAAAGGTATTTGCCAAAGATTATGAACTACTACGACTAGCAGAAAATATACCTCTACAGATGGAGATATACTGCTATCTCCTTGATTTGTAATAATTTTACATGAAAAGGATATTATTTTGTACTACTTTCAAAAAATGAAATCAACAGACTTTTGAGCTACACATTACTACTGCTATGTCATCTTCTAATTAATCTAAGCGTGCTAATCCTTTGTATCTGTATGTCTACCCTTACAGCTGTCCTGTCTTTATTTGTATTAACTTTTGCATATTTCCCCATTCAACATTAATTTATTATATTGGACTTAAACGCTAGCATTAAAATTCAGTATAAAAAAGATGGGCAAATTGATACGATGAGCAAAAATTATCTCCATTGCCTAAATTCCAGAGACGATCCTTGTCGTTTTACGGTCCATATAAATTGAATTGGGTACTTTACGACCCCAGTGGTAGTTAAAACTCAAAACAGATTTTTAAAGAAGGTCACGGTAAGATAAAAAGTAAAAAATTAATAAACCTGCAAAGACAAAAATGTTATTTGGTAGTAAATTAATGCGGTTTTTAAGTAGCCCAAGTACAACATCAGGAACGAGTTTTGCAGCAAATTAGTATAAATTATGTTGATCTTGACTTTTTACAATGCTATTAAAGCAAAAAATACTGCATAACGAAACCAATATACCAAATCAATTGAATTTGCGTTTATTTAATGGAAACTCAAACCATTATTATCATCACCATTATAAGATAGTCAGTCCTAAGATTAATTGAACACGTACCTCCACTCTTTCCTAGCCTGAGCTAATCTTCGCATTTCCTAAAACTAGAATATCCCACATCCCTAACTATTTATGAACAGTAATCTAATCTAAGTCTATCTGTACTCCTCAGCTCCTGTGTCTACTTTTATGTTTCTAACTAGGCGTTCATGCCTGAAAAGGTATCCTACCAACCCATCTGGCCTATTTCTTATTGAGTTCCATAGCGCCATCGGTTCTCTTCGTCTTTCTAATGCCTCCTCATTTTTCAGGCTTCTTATCTTTTCTTTTCCGCCGCAGCTACCGCCTACGTTTCGCACTCGTTTAGCACCCTACTCCGGGCGTTCACCAATCTTTTTTAAATTTCTAAATTAACCGTTCGTGAGCACAAGAGCGACTTCTTTTTGTTAAAGCCGATCTCGACCTTGCACTGTCTTCTGTTTTATATCTGCCCCTTTCATCCTGACTAGATACCGAAAAACAGCTACTTCTTCTAATTTTTCGTCTTCTATCTATATATTCACTGTTTCCCGATTTTTTGTCCTCTTACATGCCAGCATTTTTGTTTTACTTTTAAATTTTCTCATACAGTACTACTTCCATTTTATTAAAAATTATCTTTAACTCCTCATATTTGTTAAATGCTGATACTGCTACATGATCTGCAAATCAAACCGTACTAATCATTTGCTCCTGTATGTCTATCCCTAAAGTTATCCGGTCTTTAATTATCATGCCAAAAAAATTTTCATTTCTTATTTATACCCATCCTTGGAAGAGGTGTTGACAAAACAGTATTGTGTGAAAATAAATAAATGTAAAACAGAAATACTGGTTGGTAAGAGAGAAAAAAGTAGGAAAAGAGTGAATATGAAGATAGGATACGAAAAACTAGAAGAAGTTCGAAAAAGATGAAGGTCTAGTCAGAGACATATTTGAGGCTGAATCAGGAGTTAGGAGGAGTAGAGGTAGACCTAGATTATATTACTGCTCACAATGCGAAGATTAGCTCAGAATAGGAAACAGTGGAGGAGCGTGTCCAATCAATCTTAGGACTGATGACGTTATGATGATGATTTAATCCTTAAAAAGAGTGGCACATTTTTGTTATAAACTAGATCGTTTCTATACATTGTCGCATTTCTAACTTGGAAACAACATTGAAAACTGATATCAAAACAAAGATTTGAAAGGAAGAAATGATTCTATATGTCCAAACAGGAGATGAGTTCAGACTTTATTTGTAAAATCATAGTCGCTTGAATTACAACAATTAAAAAATGAATCCGGTGGTGAAATGTAAAGAAATCCTTTATAAAAATAGTTTCTTCCTTTTCTTACAAATTTGAATAGTTCAGCAACAAATTGACCTATCGAGTTCTACAAATTTTCATTCGAATTAAGGTTAAGAGCTTCATCTCGATACCATAAAAATATGGAAAGGGTTATTTTACTATAAACTGCTAATTGCAAAAATGGTAACTTTTAATCGTTTTTCGACACTTTTGCAATAATTATTCAACAAAGTTGGTCGCATTGACGGTTTTTAAATGTCGGTAACTTTTCAGTGGAAACTTGTTCAATGCAAACATTATACTGACGATGAGTTATAGAACATAAGACATGAAAAAAAGGAAGAATTTGCAACTTTTACGCCTTCCAAAAAATAATAACGAAAAGTTACATACGGGGAGTAGTAGGGCCAAAAAATTATGAAATCAGTAACACACGATTCCGCGTTGAAAGGTTTGTAATCTATAAAATGACACATTGACTGTTTATTGATGCTGATAGCAGTGCATTTATGTTGTATTATCTCATAAATAAAAGATATTTAATATATACATGTATATTACAACATTTTCATAATAGAATGTAAATTAAGTACTATAAATGGTTTTCTGAATTTGTTCCGTTATAAAAAATGAAATTGTTTCTTGAACTTAGGAAAATGACTTTTTACCGTCTTCAAGGAAATTTAAATTTTAACGGATGATTTGGATACTTCAATATTCCAAATTCTCTAAACGCCATTCAGTTCAGATTCCGTTAGTTTTTGTTAAAAGTATTTGTTTTGTTATTATTGTTTCTCACGCAAGAGATATTTAAGTGAAATTATAGAAAACTAATTTGTGGTCAACGAACCTTTTGTTAAATTTTGACCATTACACTGGATATCGAAAACAATTAAAATACCATGATCGCTTAATGCTTAAAGTGAACATTAGAAATCAACGACTTCTCATTCCTATTTTCTATATATCTGTCCATTCCACAGATACATGAATTTCATTGCGTTTTACCGTTCCATGACCGCCATAAAAAAGGTTAACAGACGTCCTTGATGGACGCATAAAGATCACATAAAATTTTGTAGCGGTTGTTGTTCATCCGCTTCTTTTAATTATTATTGCACTATAGTACCGTAAGAGTGCATTGCCCTTTTTAGAATGTCCGGCAGGTAGAATCAATGACTTAATTCAACCGGCTGTATTGTAATTAAAACGAAATAATTATATCCCACCTGAGCAACTTCAGAATTCAATATTTTACCAAGCGAGAAATAGTAAAATGTATACAGCCTTCCGTTGACTTTTACACTATTAATTACTTTAAGAGAAAGGGAAACTATTACTAACAAGCGTAAGAAAAAAGTAAAATTTTACTAGATGCACTTTCTCAAATGTATTAAAAAGAGTGTGCAGTGATTTTTCTAAATTACCAGAAAGTAAATAATTTTTGGATCTCTAAAAATTGAAATGGTGAAGTAAAGTTGCGATGTTAAATATTCTTTTATTTATCATCAACTTCATTTTTTTCTGTTTCACATTTGACAACGAATGAACTTCAGATTACTATCTTAACAGCTTTAATATGATTAAAGAATTAATTAACAGATTACATATCCAGAAGGAACGTATTTATTTAATAGCAATAATTATTAGCACGTATTGTATCATTATAAAGTTGGTAATTATTCTTTTTTTTTTTCTTGAATTGTCTGTAGCTCATGTTACACGACTGACATAACGGCTATTGTTTCAAGCTGATAATTTAACGTCAAAATAAGTAATCAGTTGTTTATAGTTCTCAGAATAAAAGTGAACGTATGAGCACAATAATTAATAACAATTAATGCTTGCGTATTTTCATGAAAGGAAACAAAATACAAACTCTTGCACACGGATGGCTAATCCGCCAACCGGTTATTTCGCCGGCCGGCAGAAAAGTCGGAAGAAATTATTTTACGTACGTTTAAGAAGAACCTAACATACAACGATCGCGGTATTTTGTTGGCGAACACACGAACGCCGGTTGGCAAATTACCCGGTACATTTGTTTCAAAATATGCAAATCTATGTAAGTCGACACACGAACGGTGATTTTATCGTCGCCGTTGTAGGTACATGAC